ATTGTTAGCTTGAATCACTATAGCCTCGGCTACGTATAATGGATGAGATCTAACTCAATAAGCAAAATGAGTAGGAATGCGATAAAGCACTTTAAATGACCTATTTCTATATACTATATGACCACTATCGATCAATCGTGATAGAACAGAGCGGCGTATTGTCTTGACGATATCCTTTCCTAACCACAAAGGGTTGTGTTCACTAATTCTTTGGCTCAGTTTTCTGATTTTTTGCCCAATATAGCATTCTCCATAGAAGCTGCTGAATTCGTAGATACACATGAATGCGGCAAAACTAGGTCACTTGTCCTTTAGTTAAGGAGTTACCATAGGTCAGCTGGAAAACAATGGACAGAGGTCAGCTTCACTAAGCGTTTAGTCATTCTACCTCGTAGTACATCATTAGCTACATCTCTATTAAATTGTAGCTTCAGGGAGAGATTTTTCTTACTGACCATTGATGTCGCTATGTTTCCGTTCATTATACGTCAGTGTTTCTTCCGAAAACCTTGTAGATAACCCATTTCAATCAACACGTTATGAATAAGCTCTAGCTTCTTGTTTACATATCGTTTGATCATAGCTTACTAGCTGTATTTCAGATTACGTGACGTAATCCTTTTTGTATAAAATTTTGTCAAGATTTTAATCCATTATCTACCAAACGTTGTTGGTCAAATACACTTAGAATAATTAGTTTATAAGCCTTGTTATCCTATTGAGAACTATTAAAGAATAAAAAGCTATTCCATTTTTCTATAGAAGTTCTCCAATATAAACAGTTTCCTTATTTACGCTAGAAACTATATTCAATTTGAATGAATTCCTACCAATCACTTAAGAAAATATCTACGGTTCAATAATCAATAAGTCGATCACATTTATTTGATTTACTATTATCAGAATGGGGTTTGTGGAGATTGTAGTCATTTTAACAGTTGAATTCATGAATTGATCTAAGCTAGATCATCATTGAAAACCTGAAAGTAGTGAAAGGCCGTCTCGTCCTAGTATGGGATCACTCAGTTGTGTGCATCTAGTATCCCGCATGCAAGACTTGAACCTAAGATCTTCGGTCTTACTTACGAACGCTTAACCTCTAGTTGGTATCTAACGATGTTAATGTCTAACCTCAATTGATTTATGCATTAAAAATATCTAAACTCACTCAAACACTTGACCAGTATAGTATTCGAATATCAATTAATCAATTTTCTTCATTCACATCAATGAGAAATAAACTTAAGGTCAGTTTAAAAAGTAATTGATTGTTTGTTTGTTTATTTGAGAAACAAAATCAAATCTTCTGATCATATTGTTTCAATCACCTTCATTCTATACACTCAATCTAACTACCTTATCATATATATAGAGAGAGAGAAGGAGAAAGATAGGGAGATGAAGCCATAGATTCGTCGGTCAATGTAATAAAGAATTAGACTTTTGTTGATAGTTACATTCAAAAAACAATTTTGGAAATTCTTTACTTCAAAGTCGAAATTCAATGAATTCAATTCATGTCAAAGATGACATAATATTCAGTATAGAAACAGGAATAATCAAAAGTGATTAAACAAATTGTATGCCAATTTCCTTCTATACAATTTCATGAAGAAATCTATAATGAATTGGTTAAAAATTCCAATACAGTGATGGTAAATTTATTACATATATTTATTCTATTTTGATGTAAATTAAAATGATCAATATAAGATTATGTAGATTTGATTAAGATCATGAACCGATTGATGTTAGGTTACCATTGAAAACCTGGAAGCACTGGAGGGTCGTTTCATCCTATTGTGACACTCCTCAGCAGTGCCCATCCACGGTCCCACTCGCGGGATTCGAACCCAGGTCCTTCAGTCTCGCGCGTGAACGCTTAACATTACCACCATTGGATGCCGGCTCAGTAGGCCAGTAGGTCAAGCGTTCGCACGCGAGACTGAAGGACATGGATTCGAATCCCGCGAGCGGGACGTGGATGGGCACTGCTGAGGAGTGTCACAATAGGACGAAACGACCGTTCAGTGCTTCTAGGTTTTCAATGGCAATCTAATATCAGTCGGTTCATGATCTGAATCAAAACTTAACAATCTCCGCAACCCCTATACTGATAATTAAGGAGACTGTTGAGTTTAGATTGAGATCATGAATCAATCAATTTTAGAGTATCATTGAAATTTTGGAAGTACTAGATGGCTGTTTTGTCCTAGTAGGCACATTCCTCTCAGCGGTGCATATCCACGATTCCTCATGTAATGAATAAATAGTGATTAAAGAATCATTAAAAACTTTAGAGTACACATAAATTTCTCAGTAAAATATTTAATATTTTCGAGTAATGCAATATCTTGAGAGTGAGTGAGTGAGTGAGTGAGTGAGTGAGTGAGTGAGTGAGTGAGTGAGTGAGTGAGTGAGTGAGTGAGTGAGTGAGTGAGTGAGTGAGTGAGTGAGTGAGTGAGTGAGTGAGTGAGTGAGTGAGTGAGTGAGTGAGTGAGTGAGTGAGTGAGTGAGTGAGTGAGTGAGTGAGTGAGTGAGTGAGTGAGTGAGTGAGTGAGTGAGTGAGTGAGTGAGTGAGTGAGCGAGTGAGTGAGTGAATCCATTCATATAATTGAAAATAGTTTCCATACAAATATTTCAAAGCTTTCAATGTTGCTTCTGACTGAGGGACTAACTAAACCTGTCAAAAATCTTTTTTAAAATGTGCTTAATGAAGTATAATCAATTCAACCACAATTCATAATGAACTTTAGAAATGATTGTGAGTATTCGTAGCACAAGTGTGTGTAATGTAACTTTTGTTGGGTTTTTTAAGGTAGGTAATTTACTTTGAAAGTTTCAGTAGTAGTTTCAACCCCTACTTTTAATTAAAAGAGAGACTAATAATGTTGCTGAAACCGACAGTGAATCATTTACATAATAAACGTAGCACAACAAGTATATTGAATAATATCGAATGAAATTTGTAATTAGTTTTCCACATCTATTTTGTTTAGCAGCCTATAAAAGACCAAGCATAACTGTGTTCTGTTAGTTTATTTACTGATTAAGCATTCAATCGTGTTGGGTTTCAGGTAGTTACCCACCGCAAACAATGGAAGATGGTCTCGTTATGTCAAAGATTAATTGAAATTAGACATAACACCTTTGAACAGTCGCTCATTGGTCTAATAATTAAATGTTTGCTCTAGACCAAAAGTCCCTGGTTCGAGTTCTGCGTGCGGGATCATAGATGAGCACTGTTAACGAGTCTCACACTAGAACAAAACAGCTGTCCATTGCCTTCAGGTGTTTCAATGGTTTTCAGACATTGATCGGTTCAAGGTTTTAATGAAACATCGTTTTTAGAAAATCTACAGAATTTATCCTTGAATCTGCATTACTTAGAAATCCTGAAGTCTGTTTTTTTAATACCATCTCAATAAATTTCTATTGAATATAACTATACTCTTTTGTTTCTAGATTAATAATAGCAATGAAACTTTATCGATTTTTATGTAAACTCAATTCAGCGTCTTCTTTTTCTAATGGTTAAAGATTAGTACTATCCTGTAAATCTAATCGGCACTATCTGGTTTATAATCATTTTCATCACTGAAACATATAAATAGGTGAAATAAATGAACGATAATTTCTTTTTACTGGAAGGTATACCCACTTTGTGTGATCATTATGATAGTTAGGAAACGCGTACAATGTAAGGATGATAAAGTAATTGATGAAGTAGTGAAACTTCATCAATTGAGATGCCTGAGATACGTGTTACGTATGCCAAACCACCGACTGCCTTTGATGAGCGATGTTTTATGGTATAGGAGTAAATTGGAAGAAAGCTAGGAGCGGCCAGACCAAAACATGGGACAAATCCATGAAATCACTGACAGGTGGACTGAGCCATGTTGGTAGGTGTAGACTACCTGGTTGGGATCCGCGAGATGATAGCAACCGAAGGTTGGATACCTTGAATGATATGGCTCGAAATCGTTTGCAGTGGCACAGGTGCATCCACTCTTTGTGTTCTCCCAAATCCTTATCTTCTGAATTCTTCATGTCTCTTATTTTTCCTCTTTCCAAATTTATTTCACTGGATGATACTACTTGGGTAACATCTTCAAACCCTAATCTTCCCGATTACTGCTTATACTTTTACTACCTCTACCACTACTGGATTTCAATTGACAATCTTATCTCTGTCCTAATGTGGTTTGGCAACTCGAACTGATGTACGTACGTACGAAGTTCTACGTTGTTACTGAATGACTAACTGACTGATTTATGATACAAAGGATTGATCTACAGTCTATGCATTACAATCAATTGAACTCAGTTGGAAAACTCGATTAAAATTTTTCTTTATCTATTTCTATAGCAAAGGAAAGTTTTCTTTGAAAATCTCATTTTACTCTTAGGACGAATTGAAGTTGAATACTTCAGTATTGTATCCTCTGTCTTTTATCAATTGAAAGTTGAATAATTTGATCTCATTAAATCTCTTGACTAAAGCTAACGATAATGTAGTGAACGAGAACAACAGTGGAGACAACCAAATGCATCCGAATACAAAATTACAGAATCTCCTAGTAAAATCCGAGGATCATACAGTAAATACTTCATTTATAAAATGTCAGTCAGTCGTCTCAGACTTCATTGTTTCTTCTTTTCTATACCAATCATTCTCTGTTCTCGTTCTTTGCTCTTCGATTTTCTCAATCTTCTACCGCTATGTATTTCACTTTCGAATAATGATATATACTACTTATATCTGTCAATATCAGTAGCCTACACCAAAATAATACATTGGAGAAATTTCACTTCACTTAATTAACTATAAAGGATTGATATACACATTGTAAATTTTTAATCTTTAGAAATGCTATTACGTAAATCACCTAGATTACCAATAAAAAATTTTTTTATTAACAGCAATCCAAGCAACCTGAAGCCTCACACACTGTAGTCATTCAAGTACCGACAATCAATGATTTGAATATTAAGTCATGGTAAGTTTTCTTCATAATTATAATAAACTGTTTATGAGTTTCAGAGATATTTAAAGAACATACTCTGCATCCAAGCCAATCCGTTAAATGAACTTGATATATTAACTATATGGAGTATGTGTATGGTAAAATTAGTCAGAACAGAACATGACACCAGTCCACCGAAATCATCCTGTAGCCCATAATACAGTGCAAAAACATTGACTAGACAGCGCAAGAGTTATTCCACAAGATTTACGATGATAACATTAAGTTGTTGTTCATTTATTGTTCAACAGTTATTGATAATTCTTATTTCCAATTTTTGATGATACGGGGTCGAATCCGTCAGGGAGCACCAGTTCCCTCAAGATTACAGGTACACCTCGCTGACATGTGCCAAATAGCACGAAACCCGAATCCGGGGTTTCCTCTTGACTACCTCCAACCACACAACATAGTTCACATAGTGTCCAGAATAAGCAAACACTACTCCAAAGTTTTTTACAGAAAAACACGGGTATTTATAGATGTTAACATTTGTTAAATCAACATCATATTTTGGCCAATCCGCTAAGAGACATTATGCTACTGACCAATAGTAGCATGCCACGTTGATATTCTAGAAAGCTCCATCATGCTCGGATTGGCTAAGACTCTCCGGCTCTTTTAGGGCCTACGGAGGCTCCGTTGCAGTTTTCGGAGAGCCGACTCAACATTTATTTCAAGAAACTTTTGATATTTCGGATCATTCTAATATTTTATGAAGCAGTGGTATAATGCCTTTAGACCATTTTAAGAAGTACGATAGTAGCGACATGTTGCATTGTTGTGCTTTAGTTTATAAGTATACATTTTTATTTTAAATTTCCTGTATTATCTAATGCTTGAATAATTTTTAAAAAATGATTTTTTGTTTGAAATTACTTCTATTGGTCAAGAACGAAAGATGTATAAGACCTAACACAGTTAATATCATAGACTGGTCTTCATCAGAAAGGCATTGAAAACCAAAAATCACTGAGAATAGCTATCACATTCTAATATAGAACTCTTAATATGTAACCACGTATTCACTGCCCCACCTCAAACTGAACCTAGGATCTACAGGTTTCAGGGTGAGAGCTTGAACTTTAGGCCACTGAGCAGCCTAAATTCAATCATTTCTCGATATTACGCCATCGTCATCTATTACCTAACATGAATAACTGTTGCATACTAGACACAGTTGAATTTTATTTGTCAGAAGGGGTTTGTGGAGAGCCGGCATTAAATGGTGTTAATGTCTAACTTCAACCAACGCACGAAGTTGCGCCACCGTACACCATTGTCTTCAGTGAGCTGATATCTCACAACAGACTGATAATGGCTTCTCACTAGAACTCCAGGAGTATCTCTTGAAGTCAGTCACTAGTGAGCAGATGATTATTATCAGAAGGGGTTTGTGGAGATTTTAGAAATTTCACAGATTGAAATTATAAGTCAAGTGCTTCCAGGTTTTCCCTGGTGGTCTAGCTTCAATTGACTCATGATTTCAATCTGTGGAATTTCATTTGTCACAAATGCCGACTCAGTTGTTTAAAGTCTAGTCACAAGACTGATTGTCCTGGGTTCAATCTATGGTGAGGTCGTAGATCCCCACTTTTGATAAGTCTCATACTAGGAAGAGATAACTGTCAAGTGCTTCGTATTTTGTAGTGACTGTCTAACTATGATCATCCTATGAAGTAAACCATAAAAACTGAACAATCTCCACATACTCTATACTAGTTAGTATAAATGCATAACATATTTGACTAGTTTATGAACATATGACATTGATATCAAAACAAATAATTTTGTTTATACCACAAATTTGGTAACAACTAACTATGCTCGAATTCATTATGTTAGATATAAGTGAACTAGACTGAATTTTTTATTCTCTTACATACATACAATTATACACATAGAGAAATCAATTGAAATTCGAGAATAAACTGTGGGTTTTTTTTCCTGTAAATTCACTAGTCTAAATGTTTTGTTTTTATCTAGTTATGAAATCACACATTTATGATTGATTAGTTTAACAGTATTCTAATAATTGAATTCATGAGTCGATCTAAACAAGACCACTATCGAAAACGTGGAAGCACTGGACAACCGTTTCGTCAGTGCACATCCATGATTCGAATCCAGGATCTTTGGTCTCGCGTGTGAACGCTTAACGCCTGGACCACCAATGGTGGTCTAGCTTAGATCGACTCATGAATCAACTATTAAAATACCTATATGTGTACTATGGAGTGTATGTGTCTCTGACCTGTAAACTTTATATATACATAAAATGCATAATGCATCCACATCCCAAACTAGTGTATAGATTCTTGCTGTTCGCATCTTATTGTTATAAAGTCTCTGGATAGGAAAAACCTCAGTGCAGCATAACGGAAGTAAATCAGAAACCTGTTCGTTTGCTTCATAAAGTATAATTATCTTGAAGTCCTTAATAAGAATCATACAATAGTAAAGTAATAATTTGTCCGTTAGCTATACTTTCTCCGGTGTTCCAGTCTCAAATATCTTCAAAAAACCTCTTCTCTTCAACTTGAAAAGCTAAACGACGTTCCAACTTAGTTTGACAGGATCAATCAACAAATACCCCCTAAGAAAAAAGTTTTTCAAAAGATTTTAAAATCGCTTTTTTATAATTTATTTCATCATACGTGATAAATTTCTTTTTCAAATAGGAACATTTGCATCTACTTGACAGAATTTGATTTTTCAAAAGTTATAAGAATGAGGATTTGTGGAGATTGTAGTAGTTTTAATAGTTGAGTTCTTAAGTCGATGTAAACTAGACCACCATTAAAAACATGGAGGGATTGTATAACCGTTTGGTCGTCATATGGGATTCCTCAGTAGTGCGCATACACGAGTGCGGCATGCGGGACTTGAACCCAGAACAGAACTGAACGACCGTCCAGTGTTTCCAGGTTTTTAATGGTGGTCTTGCATCAATCCATTCATGATATCAATTTTAATATCAAATAAACGAATTATCCTTAGACTTTTATTGGGCCGTATATCGAAGTATTTAAATAACTCGGAATATTGGCCTATTTTTAAGTCACACTTTGAATATATGCGCTGAATTATCATTGAGTAGTAGCCAATTCCGTGCCTATCTACTCATTACTGTTAATTGAGTTCCATCGACGATATCCCAATATCCTCATTGATTTCTTATGCTATGGTTGGACGAAGCTGTGAGGATACCTCGGATACAGATTTCATGATAGTTATCATTTGTCAAAACCACTTAACTGTTTTGCCAACTGTTTCAGTGGTAATACCTTAGATTGTGAAACTGGGTAGCGCGAGTTTACATTTCATATGGACCATCATTTCCCTTGAAATTTTAGCTAATCCTTAATAAAAAGATCAAACTAGTATAAAACCTAGGTTCAACGTATTTTAACTATTACTTTCAGCTAATTGATAGCAAACTGAAAGTTTGAGCCAAATCCACTCATGTGTTCACTCACTTTTAATTTCTTTATCCTATTTATCAGTGATATATCTCCCAGATCAAACAATTTGATTAATACCCCAAGAAGTTTTGAATTCTACTGCCAGCGATTCAATACACCATGTTCCGAAAATATTTTTGTGAAACATCCAACTATGTCCGTAGAAAAATTGATAAAAACCGAACAAAAACAACAGCAACGAAGAAATTTATTTCCTCATCGATCAATAGCAGAGGTATCCTAGAAAGCTTCCTATATATTTTCTAAGTAGAATACTTTCTCAACAAAAATTTAGTTAGTTAATTAACGTGTTTTTTATATGGAGAACGTTAAATACCATAGTAGTACTACTGAGTTTGACTGTTTGATAGACTTAAACAATAGTCAAATTGTTACCATTAAAGCTTTATCTCAATTTGGCTTATCTCTCAATATGCTCACATCGTTGATCTCTGATAAAATCAATCATTATGTCTATTGATTTTATAATTGACACATGAATACTCTCTAAAAACTATCAATATCATTTTCAAAATGCACGAAATTCATTTTCATCAGAAAATTTCCAGGAAATTTCTCTTACTGACTGATAGTAATCAGTTGTATATTAGAATTGGAACTTCATCCCATTGCAAAATCTAATGGCTATTTGGACTCATTAGCTAAGTAGATAAATCGCTTGTGTTTGAAGCGAACTGTACTGAGTTCGAGTCCCGGAGCGAACATCAAATTTGAGATGCAGATACGTGCAACTGACGAGCCCCAAAATGGCACGAAACACATGTCCAGCATTCTGTTGCTAACCATCATCTATCGCTGCTTATAATGCTTGTAACTTAAGGCTATATCAAGGTAATCCTCACAGAATGCACATATGCCAATAAAAGATTGATCAATTACAATCCTAAACATCAATTGAAAGAATCAAACAAACAATACAAAAATAGATTAGTCATATATTCACTTCCAAATGTGAATTAAACCAAAGTTACTAAAAGAAAGTCTTTGGAAAGACGATGATATCATCAACGAATTTCATTCATAATCAATAATTTGTTAAAGTTTCCCGTTGTTTACAAGTTACGTAACTTGTATTTCATTAGCTGTTAGTATAAATATTCGTTTAACGATGTGAACTAATAGAAATAAATGTCAAATTCTTCAAATACTTCTTATGAAGATCCAGTTTTTACTGAATAATTTATGTAATAAACATTTGATTCAAATGATAATAAACATTCTTTGATAACAAAAAGAAAACATAACTTACAAACTAGAATATAGCCATCAGATCGTGTATTTCTCTAGCTCTAACAGATAATAAATGTCGTGAAACCAGTGTATGTTATATCAATAAATACCATTTTCAACTGCTACAATAAAGAATGAATGTAAGAATAGATAGATAGATAGATAGATAGATAGATAGATAGATAGATAGATAGATAGATAGATAGATAGATAGATAGATAGATAGATAGATAGATAGATAGATAGATAGATAGATAGATAGATAGATAGATAGATAGATAGATAGATAGATAGATAGATAGATAGATAGATAGATAGATAGATAGATAGATAGATAATAGAAAGATAGATAGATAGATAGATAGATAGATAGATAGATAGATAGATAGATAGATAGATAGATAGATAGATAGATAGATAGATAGATAGATAGATAGATAGATAGATAGAAGAAGATAATAGATAGATAGATAGATAGATAGATAGATAGATAGATAGATAGATAGATAGATAGATAGATAGATAGATAGATAGATAGATAGATAGATAGATAGATAGATAAAACCCATAATAACATAAAAACCACTAAGACAGCAAACAATTCGTTAACATTACTCTTACTGTTGTTTACCGACTACTGAAGTTTTTTTCTTTGGAAATGAGAAGATTCTACGTCGACTGGCCAAACACATAATTATTTTTTTGATGGAGTTTTGTTCTCTGAGCTGGATGGTTTGTTCGTGGAGCTTTCATCGTCCTTCTGAACGAAAACATCAGCACAATCATCAGATAGAGGTGAAGTGTCCAAATTTCTCCACATGTGGTTCACAGCTTGTCCTGTACACCTCGATGTTGATTGGTTCTTATTGACCTTAAACCTGTCATTGTTTACTTCATTGTTTTGGTTGTATATCCAATTGGTTTGATTTTTGTTCCTATGTTTGTGCATAATTTTCCTGACTGGTTGATAAATTGGATCGATATTTATCAGAAACCACAACAAGACTGCTGAAAACCTTCGGAATAAGTGTTGCACACAAACCTACAAAATCATTACAATCAATCGTATGCAAACCAAATGATGAAATGAAAAAGAAGACAAACCAAACATCATCTACATAATAAATTGTGCCAACTGCGAAAAACACCACATCGGACAAAGAGGACGCCCTTTTCATCTTCGCCTGCATGAACAACAATTAACAGTCAAACACCATGACATTTCCTCACTTATATCAATGCACGTGGACAACTGCGGACACTCATTTGACTGGAAAAATGTGGAAATCTTGGATAGAGGAAATCCCAAAAACTACAGAGAATTTTTAGAAGCTTGGCACTCAGGTCAATCAGCAATCGACAAGCACATTGAAATCGATCCAATTTATCAACCAGTCAGGAAAATTAGGCACAAACATAGGAACAAAAATCAAACCAATTGGATATACAACCAAAACAATGAAGTAAACAATGACAGGTTTAAGGTCAATAAGAACCAATCAACATCGAGGTGAACAGGACAAGCTGTGAACCACATGTGGAGAAATTTGGACACTTCACCTCTATCTGATGATTGTGCTGATGTTTTCGTTCAGAAGGACGATGAAAGCTCCACGAACAAACCATCCAGCTCAGAGAACAAAACATCATCAAAATCATCCACCTGAGCTACAAATCTTTTTCACCATCACAGAATTATTTGATTTCCCTGAACTAAAAATGTTCATAAGCCGGTTCAGTTTCATTTATTCTTTTCTTTTTCTTATAGATTGGTATTGCAATTGGATTATGGAGAAAAATTGATAAAATGCATCAACAAATTGACGATGTTAAGAAATCTCATGAAAAGCGCAATCATGTACGCCAATTACGTTTAGTGCATGCACAAAAATACTGGGAGAATATTGTTAAACGTGGTAAACGTATAGCTCTGTTACAAAAACAAAGAAGTTACGAAAAAATGCAGTTCAATAAACGGAAATCAGATCAAATTAAAGTACAGAATGAAGTAAGAATTTATTGTGTTTGACAGAATGCAAGATGTATTGAATAGTTCTACCAATGATTCTGTATGGTAGACTTTATCAGTTAGTTTTCACTTACATAATTCTTAATTAATATTATATCCTATACTTACTTACATCTGTCATCCCTCCCCATGGAGGAGCACAGGCCGCTCACCAACATTCTCCATTCAACTCTGTCCTGGGCAATTCTTTCCAGTTGCTATTAATCCTTTTCATATCTGCTTCCAATTCTTGATGCAGTGTGTTCCTTGGTCTTCCTCTTTTCCATTTCCCTTCAGGAATCCAAGTTAGCGCTTGCCTCGCGATGCAGTTTGGTGATTTCCGTAATGTATGTCCTATCCACTTTCATTGTCTTTTCCTAATTTCCTCTCCAGCCGGCAGCTGGTTTTTTCTTTCTCACAGTAGGTCGTTGCTGGTAGTATATGGCCAACGGACAATGGGTATCATGCGTAGACCGTCAGTAACCCTAGAAGAGCTACAGGCGGAGTTATTATATCCTATGCTAAATAATAATACATTCAACAATAAAATAAAATGCTTGGTTTACAAACTGAGTATTCATTATTATCAACGACAGTATTTTGAAGTTGTTCACAAGCTTTTTCATTTGTAAAAAGACAAATGAATCTAGGAGTATATTTGGATTTGCCTGTAAACAAAATAAGAAATAAATATCTGCCAAAGCCTATCAGACTCAAAGTCCTTTAGACGACAGAAGTAGTAAACATTCGGATTAAGAAACCAGAGCTATGTGTACAAAAGAAATATATTCAACCGCTTCTCATCCCCATGGCCAACCTCAAGGCAAATTAATCAATAGTAATCTTAGATATTAAAGACGAAGAATGTATTTATAAAATCTCAGTGAATGAATTTGAAGTAAATTCAACATTTCGCCTGGCAATCTGGTCCAAGCTTTTTCAATGAAATATAATCAACCATCACAAGTATAAAATATAAATAGGTACATGGTTCTCCGGTTTACTTTATACTGAATAGGTCATCCGATCAACGTGAACACTGTTTAAGTTAGGTAGTTGCATTAATGTGTAAGAGACATGTGGTATGAAACGAAAAGTGTTAGTATAACAGATTGTGTGTATACATAAGTGGTGTGAGAATAAATTCCATCAACTATATATTGTCTCTGGTCGGTGAATATTAAGAAAACATAATTTTTATTAATGATATGAATCATAAATGTCACAGCATGTCGCCACTAAGACTTGTGGTTGATTATATAAATTCACCAACCTACAATCTTTTTACATACCTGGCCGAAATTATTAAACTGTATGAACTTGTAATCAAATACGCACTAAAATATTCTGATGAGTTCAAAGACATGATCACTAATAGAAGATGAATTAATGACAAGTTTTGATGTATACTAATTGTTGACTTATGTTCCTTAGCTTAAACAATGATGTCCATTAGGTCCCTCAGATATTATTAAAGCATTAGATCTATTTTTAAATTCAACTGTTTTCAGTTTTCCAGGAGATTTGTACAGACAAACAGAAGGTGTAGTTATGAAATCACCGGTTTCATTAATTGTTGCTAAGTTACTCATGCATTGATTGGAAACAAGTGTGATTTCAATGTGTTCCCTTCGATCAAAAGTTTGATTAAGATATGCAGATGACACGTTTGTCAGCATATCCACAATGCATCAAAGTGACAGTGGTCAAGAGTTTAATCACCAGAGTTCAAAAACTTGTCACTGAACCAAATGATATAGAAATGGAAATGAATTTAATTCTATCCACTGTGATGATGAATCATTATCCTAAACATTTTATAAAAAGAATTTTTAAGAACGAAAACCAAAACGACATTAAAAAAAAAAGAGTTAAACAAAAAGAACGGGTTAACACACTGGTGATCCTATATCGTAGAGGTGTTTCAGAAGAGATCAGAACGATCCTAACTCTTCAAAATATAAGAGTATTCATTCGAACAAACAATACTCTAAGATCAAAACTAGTAAGAATCAAGGATCTAATACGCAAGGAGGAACAACAAAATTGTGTTTATGAACTCAAGATTAGTGATTGTAATGCAACGTATGTAGGTGAGACATCAAGACAACTTAATGTGAGGGTGAAGGATATGCTTAAAGCACATTCGTAAATCCTCAGATAATGTAAGAAAACTCGAGAATAAACCACCTATAGAATTACACTAAATAGAATAGGGTCATATAATTTATTTCAATGGCACAAGAATCTTTCAAAAAGGCTTTAATTCTCACAAAGAACGACTAACAGCCGAAAGACTACATATATGGGCTAATTCAAACAGTATTAATATAAGAGATGAAATACAACTGGCTGTCCCGTGGCAACCAATAATTAATAAGTAAACCTGAACTCCCTATCTGTTTCGTATTATCTGAATTACAGAAATTACATTCAACGGTCCAAATCAGTTATCTTATCTGAATATGCTAAACAATTAACCGGAACATTAAAATAACAAACATTCATTTGCAAATACATTCTTCAGATTGAAATCATGAGTTAATTGAAGCTAGACCACCATGGAAAACCTGGAAGCACTGGACGGCCGTTTCGTCCTAGTATGGGACTCCTCAGTGGTCTATTTGGTTGGGCGCCTGACGCGAGACTGATGGGTCCTGTGTTCGAATCTCGTGGGGTGCGGGATCGTGGATGCGCACTGCTGAGGAGTCCCATGCTGGGACAAAACGGCCTTCCAGTGCTTCCAGGTTTTCCTCGGTGGTCTAGCTTCAATTGATTCATGATTTCAATCTGTGAAACTTCTAAAATCTCGACAAACCCCTTCTAAAATTACATTCTTCCTCTTTGAATTCATTTCTTCATCTTATTTATTTATCTTCATTTTATGCTTGCTGTGACGTTTTTGATTCATATCATTTATAAACATTATATGTTTTCTTAATATTCACCGACCAGAGATAATATATAGTGAATGGAATTTCTTCTAACACCACTTATATATATAGTAATCTTAGCTGCTGAATGACCTAATTTGATTAGAGTACTTAAAACCTTTCGTAGTCAAATATAATTATTACATATCAAAAGGGTTTTGTGGATATTATGGTAATTTCAATGGTTGAAATCATGAGTCAATTAAAGCTAGACCACCATGGAAAATCTGGAAGCACTGGACGGCAGTTTCGTCCTAGTATGGGACTTCTCATCAGTGTGCATCCATGATCTCGCGTCGCGAAGTTCGAATCAAGGACCTATTGACCTCACACATGAGCACTTAACCTCTAGACCACTGTAAAGGCCGGCATCCAATGATGTTAATGTTGAACTTCAACTAATCCACGAAGTTGCGCCACCGTCCACCATTGTCATCAGTGAGTTACTATCTCACAACAGACCCGGTTGAACTCCATTGGTCATGGCTTCTCATGAATATATATATTATTGATTGTTTATAGTTGTATTTGTATTCATTAGTAACCGAAAAACCAACCCGCCTTGCAGGCGAGATCGTGGGTGTGCACCGCTGAGGAGTCCCACAATACGACGAAAAGGTCATCCAGTGCTTCCAAGTTTTCCATGGTGGTCTAACTTCAATTGATCGATGAGTTCAACTATTAAAATGACTATAATATCCACAACACCTCCTTCACTTCTGATTAAAAATATTTTTCATCGATAGTTTCTATTCCTTTTTTTATTCTTATTTAAGTTAAATGAAAAACTAAAAATGAATCGGGAAAAATTTAAATTTCTTGAAAATGATCAAAAACAATTAAAAATCAATAATCAATTAACTGAAAATTATCTGAATTATAAACAAAAATTATTAGATCATGAATTATTGATTGAAGAGAAATATCAACATTTAATAAATTTACAAAATCGAACAAATGAAATCAGGTAAATTCAATCAATCAATAAATCAATAAAATAAACTTTGACAAAATGATAAGTAAATGCTAGATCCTTAATATTCATTTGGAAATTCGATTGTTTTTGTTTTTGTTTTTGCATCAAATGTGCCCATTTTTAACTTCAGATTATATTTTCCAGTTGGAATGATCTTAAATATCATTGATTTGTTGTTTCTTTTTGTTATATCTTGAATGTTGAATTCTTGATTTACCGCGTATAACAAAGCACTAGAACACCAAAGCCCTTCCAATTCACAATAAGAAGACAGAAGACTAATGAAAGGAATATTAATCCCAGACTGTCAATTATAACACAAAACTGTCAGGAATTTGTAGTTTTTAGTAAGAACGAAACCATCATTACAGTCCTACAATCCGCATACAGGGAGGCTATTAGCATTGTCCAACCGGGAAGCTACACGTAGGAATTCTAGAATATTCTTCGGAAAGGTGATTGGATGAAACATCTTCGGCTCCTTATGAGCCTCTTACAGCCTCCGCGAGTTCACCCGTGATCCGTCGTCACACTTTTAATATGCGATTTTGTGATATCTCCCGAGGACATTTTTATGCCGTATATATATATATACGCTTGAATTGTACTTGTTGTTATTTGTGCTTCTGGCTGTTTGTGGGATACACTTTCATTTCTTCTGAACCTGGATTTCTTCCTCTAGTTAGTGTGACTGGGACACATCGGAATAGTTAACTTATCATTTAAATCTCTGAGTCTTCGTTCCATTCAATGGTTTAGGTGATCTCTTCAAAGTCAATTTAAGCTAGAATACCATTGAAAAGTTGGGAGCACTGGACGGCCGATGGTCATCTAGCTTAGATTGACTTGTGAATTCAGCTTTGAAATTACTACGACCTCCACAAATCCACAAAACTGATTATACCATTTTATTTCTTAGAAATGGTTGAATACAATGACTATTATTTCCATTTGCGTTCTTAGATTTGAATTATTGTTCTACTGATGAACAAACGTAGAACTATATGAAATGAATACATGACCTTGGAAATATATTTCATTTTGTTTGGTCACCAGTCTGTTGAGAGTAATTCGCCATAGTAATCAGTTGATTAAGTACGACAACATTAGTTCTAGGTTTGTATTAAATTTGTCTTCTGTGAAAGTCGACAATGCGTATTTAACTTGTTAAGTTCGAAGCTTGGTAGTAGTGACTTTGATCATTACTAAATAAAATCTCTAATTATCGGTTACATAATTCCCAGATTTTTAGCCATTACCGAATCCTGTCTACTTTTAATTGCTATAACTGCTCAGAGAAAAGCCTTGTTGTTATTGTATTGCCATTAAGTTCAGTGGTTTAAATCCTACTAATGATTCCATCCGAAAGTTTTAGACGTTAAATGTTGGCAGATAGTCTCCTCGACATAATATTCCCATTAGCCACTATAGTTTCAGTCACTTAGTGTTGTGAGTAAGCCCGAATACCTTAAGACAGTCAGTCAGTAGTTGATGAATTATATATATATATATCAGTTAGTCAGTCAGCAACATAAAACTTCGTACGTACGTACGTAAGTACATCAGTTCGAGTTGCCATACCAAATTAGTACAGAGATACAACTGTCGATTCCAATCCTATAGTGGTAGGGGTAGTAAGAGTATAAGCAGTAATCAGAAAGCTTAGGGTTTGAAGATGTTACTCAAGGAGTATAATCCAGTTAAATACGTTTGGAAATAGAAAAAAGAGGGATATGAAGAACTAAGATTAGAATTTGGGAGAACACAAGAATTGGATGCACCTGTGTCATTGCAAACCATTTTGAGCCATGGCGCAAGTGCACCCACTCTTTGTGTTCTCCCAAATTCTAATCTTTTGAATTCTTCATATATATAAGTTCGAAAAGGACATACACAGCATACCCATCAATACATATTATTGTTCATAGTTCCCTTATTCTCAAAGTGTATTACTATTATTATTGCATGAATTTCCTCTTAGTTAATTGTATGGTTCTCAGATTTTACTAAGATATTCTGTAATGTAAAAATTCACTTGGTGTTGTTTTACTTGTATTTTCCCATTGTTATTTAGGACTGAAATTGATCAGTTTCATGTTGACATATGTGCATCCTGTGCGGATCGCCTCGTTATAGCCTTAAGTCACAAGCTTTTTAAGCAAAGATGGGTTCAAGTCCTGGAGTGAACATCAACTCTAGGATTCAGGTATATATAGCTGACGAATCCCAAATAGGACGAAACGAGCGTTCTGGATTCCACTGTTAGCCACTATCCATCTTTGCTTATTCTGTAATGTGTTAAAATACATTTGTTTATCCCTTACTTGTATGTTCTTACTTTTATAGATCCCGAATAAATAAAGCTATTAAAACTAAAAAGCAACATCAAAATGAATTATCTTCGGAAATTCATTGGAATCGATTATGTGAAAAATTTACTATTGAATCAAATATACAAGAGCGTAAATTAAAAGAATCCAAATTAACTAGTGAACATGTGAAACAATTACGTAATCAAAAACTTGTAAAAATCCCTATCTCCATGAAATTAACTAATTTAACATTAGATAATTAATCGTTTATGTAATGTAATACAATGTGCACTGGTACATTATTGAATATGATGTGTTTATAATCATGGGAAAATGTCTTGGGATTATTATCTTTAAATAAAAGCTATTGATTGAACTAATATGTTTTTCAATGGTTGAGATCGTGAGTCAATTGAAGCTAAACTTCGATGGAAAACCTGGGAGCACTGGAAGGCCGTTTCGTCTCATTGTGGGACGCCTTAACAGTGCGCACTCACGATCCCGCCTCATGACATTCGAACTCAGGACCTGTCAGTCTCGCACGCGAGCGCTTAACCTCTAGATCACTGAGCCGGCTGGCATCCAACGATGTTAATATCTAACTTTAACCAAACCACGAAATTGAGCGACACATCCACGACTGTGAGATCCAAGATTCAAATCCTGCGCATAGGATCACGGATGCACATTACTTAGGAGTCCCATACTATGACAGAACTGTTGTCCAGTACTTTTTATTTGATAAAAATGATCTACTATGGTAAAAGTATCATTGAGAAAGTTTTGGTTCGAGTTAAATATATGTTACATTACTAAAAATAAAGTTGAACTATATGTACCTACGAGCTAAGCATTTTCAGGAATAAAGGCCATAGTAAATAATGACAGGATAGTACTATATACGTAGTGTACACTACTTATGTTGACAGATATACGTAGTATGTAGCACCAGTCGAAAGTGGAATATATACCTTCAGAAAATTGGGAAGATTCAATGGAAGGAAATAGAAAGTAATCGTAAAAACAACAGAATTGAAGGAATCATGTGGAGGAATACTGATGGAAGATGTGCAAAACATGAATTTGATGTATAGTTTTCATATTTTATGAAGGCACTTTGTAATTTTGCATCAAATAATAAATTGGTCTTCCCCACCTGCCTGTTCGTTCACTACAGATATTAAGTTATACATATATATGTCTTGTTTAAATATAATGCTCTGAATACATGATGCATTAGTCACGACAAATTTACAAACTGTTCGCTGTAGTCATAGTGGATGCAATGCTTGGATCACCGTTAGGTTTTGGCTCAGTGGTCTAGAGGCTAAGCGTTCGCGCTTGTGACTGGAGGTCTGGGACTCGAATCCAGTGTGCGAGATCGTAAGAGTGCATTGCTGAAGAGTCCCACACTAGAACGAAGTGGTCGTCCGGTACTTCCAGGTTTTCAACTGTGGTCTAACATCAATCGATTCAAGATCTGAATCAAAAGTTCAACAATCTCCCCAACCCCATACTGAAAATCTAATAAGTTGAACTCATACATCTTCTTCCTTTCAAAAAATTACAAGGATTTATATCTTATTACCCAATGAAATTATTTTGATATTCTGGAACTATCACCTTGAGCAGTTATAATTAAACCCCTTTTAAAGCTTTAGTTCGTAACTTTATTCACAACTAACAGAACTTAATCATTACTGAGTAACAGCTCACCTTTCAACATCATGTTAATCAGTCAGTCAGCTACAACATAGGACCAGGCACATATATGCTTCAGTCCAAGTTAACATTATGTTAATAATGAAAAATAATTCGGTTAGTTAATTTATATGAAGCTGAAGAGAAAGCAACTAACTACAATGAATCAGTTTTATTGTACTCTGCAAATATTGTCGCTTTTGTTTTGTTTTGAATGTTGGTGATGGGAACTAATTGCACAGAATTCGTACTAACTGTAAATTACATGCCATCTGATTTGTACATTTTTTGTAATAGTGTGAATAACCACATTTATACACTTCTTTCTATATCTCAATTAATGTTCAGTGAATATATATGTGTACTGTCGACTTTCTTGTTCAGAGAAGATATAATGATAGCATATCAAGATGAAAGAATTTATAAACCAAGGGTTATGATCCATGTAAAACTCTGATATCATAAGTCACAGAGACAAATTTATATGGCAAGTTATTTGACAAGATTTCTTCCATAAGTGAATACCCTCATAAAAAAGAAACGAATGGATAGAGCATGTATTTACAGATCCCCTATATTACTGATTAAATTACTTACGTGACAGATCCATTTCTTGTGAGAATGTTTAAAATTCAATAAACAGTTCCAATAGATGATGTTCGTGGGCACGACTTATTGAATAAAGTTATACAATTTCTTGATGTTGATGTCATATCAAAGCATATTACTGAAACTGTTCTTTATCAAAGAACTAATTCTCAGAATAATCTATTTTATATTGTCACTGTCGTAGGTCATTAAGATTTCTTATAACTGTTCACCTAGACTACCCAGTAGTATATTACTGAACATGTTTATTAAAAATACAATTATGTTTCATATCTTTGTGAATAATAGAAAACAAAAAATCATAGATGAGGTCTTCTTGCTTTCAATCCATCACCTCTTCCACATTAATTTGATTTCTTTTACACTACTTACTAATATTCAGTAGCACAAAAATATATATGGATTGTTAGGACGACAATTAAACGTGTTTTTTTTTACATTTCATTCAAGTCGTTTACTCTACCAATGCTTATGGCTTAATCCTCATTCCTTCGCATCCATCATCTTCCTGTAGGTCTATTACTAAGTTTTGTTTTTTCTTGATCGACTAACCTAGTCCCTCAAATATCTTATTTTTCAGAAGGTTTGGTGGAGATTGTTGAGTTTTGTACCATAACATCATAAGCTGAATTTGGTGAGATAAATGTATGACTTAACAAATTTTCCCTCCCAACATGGTGCAGCTTAGAATTACGCATCTATGACTTCCCTTTGGCTCTCATGTCAAGTATTTAACCGTCAAATCATTCAACTGACAACCTAAGAACTCATTAAGATAAAGTGACTTTCCAGTGGTTCTTGGTTCTATTGCTAAGACCAATTCATTATAAAAAGCTATGGGACATTTTGTTTCTTTTCTGAATATTGAGGATAGATATTTGAACTCAAAATAGATGGACGACTTCAATTGTGGCTGAACTCAAATCATCTATGGACCAAACCATCTTAATAATTTGGTCTTAGTAATATTGTATTGAATTAATGATTGGTTTAAACGAACTTGTCTTCTTGAATTTTACTTCGCTGACTATCATGTATAGTATCTCAAAGAGTAACGGTTAAAATGAATAGTGCCTGTTAGGAACTGATTATAGTTATTATAGTCTTTTCATCTTGCGCCGTGTTATTTAATCATGGATTATTCAATACAATGACAACTTTTGAATTTGCCAGTTCGTGTGATTCACAGAGACATTTTAATTTCTAAGAATTGCATAGCAACAGTCTGAGCACCTTTTTAGACCACTTGGGTTCACTGAAAATAAGATAGTTAAATTACCTATTCTGTTGTTTTAAGTGTTCCTTAATTGCATATATGGTCTTAGCTTCAGTAGACATTTTGCCGAGATTTTTTTAGGATAAGAAAAACTCAGTTGGAAATATGTTTAAGAATACAAGTTAATGAGTAGATGACTTCTAACAACCTGTTCGTCGCATGGTATATTTGCTACAGTATTTATACATTCACTTAAGTGTATGGATTCTAATGTACTAATGTCTTGTGCACAAACAGTAAAATTATTATCATCCCACTGAGTAGTGTATGAGTTGTGACAATTTTTACATGATCTACTCCATGTATTGACTATAAATATCAAATCCTAACAGTTTACTTGTTCAGCAAAGCTAGAAAAGTGATGATAAGTTGGAGGCTGTTTTACAGAACAACGAACATAAATAACGTTTCTATATTGATGGTCACGCTAAAGGTATATGATGTAATACTGTGATATAGATATTTAGTGTCAAGTATTTTTTAAATAATTTCATATTGTTAAGCAAAGATGGATAGTGGCTAGTAATGGAATCCAGCACACGCGTCTCGTCCTATTTGTGAGGTTTTAGCTGAATATACCTGCATCCGAGTTGATGTTTATTTCGGAACTCGAACCGAGTGGCATTCACCAAACTGTAATGAATGGAGAACCAAGGTGGTGAAGATAAATGTAATGTTTATTGAGACATTACAGAGTACCTTCGTAAAATATGAAAATTATGCATTAAATACATTTTTTGAGAACATCTTCCTACGGTTTTCCTTTATATGGTTCATGATTCTTTCAATTCTGTTGTTGTTGTTGCAATTACTGAAATCCGGACGAAGAGTCCGAAATGGGACAAAATGCGCATCCTAGATTCCACTGATAACCACCATAAATCTCAGCTCGCAAATTCCGTACAGGATTCACACATGGCAATAAAAAATCAATTAATTCCAGATCTAAACATCAATGGGAAGATTCAAATAACCAGTACATAAAAACTTCATCCTTGTAATCATTAGAAAAAAATTATCTGGCTTCAAATCCTTAAAAAAGGAAATCCAAATAAGTCTAACAAGAGCAAGTGTTAACTTGGAATCGTGAAGGGAAATGGAGAAGAACTAGGCCAAAGAACACAATGGGTCAGAAATTAGAAACAGAAATGGAAAGGATGAATAGAAGCTGGAAACAACCGGAAAGGATTACCTGGGACAGAGTTGGATATAGAATGTTGGGAAGCCGGCCTATGCTCCTCCACGAGAAGTGACAGACTTAAGTAAGTAAGTAATATATATCTAACAATACAATTTTCAAGAAACGTAACGTTCCAGTTTCCACTCATTTATATACAGATATTTTGCTTTGTATATTAGACAGATACAAATAATCTGAAGATGAATTTCACACTGAATTATTACATAATCCAATGTTTGATCCCCAAGTAACAAGAGTGATTTACTAACTAATTCATTTAACTTTCATACACTTTTTGTACAAGCTTAAAAATCAATTGTATCCATAGACTTTGGACAAAATGGAAACTTTCAGAACGAATTCGAGTATCTCTGGGTAGGTAACTGAAAGTACACAGTAATGTATAACTGAAATGAATGATAATCAAAAGGATTCAAAACTTACTTATCTACTCAAAGCTACTAACACTATACATATCAGTGGAAAAAGGCCTAAATAGTGATAAAATTT